CTGGCATGGGAGACCCAGGTGGTACACGGAGCTGTCCCCTGGCACGGGAGACCCAGGTGGTACATGGGGCCGTCCCCTGGCATGGGAGACCCAGGAGGTACACAGGGCTGTTACCTGGCACAGGAGATCCAGGTGGTACACTGGATCCCTTCCAGGGGCTGCCTGGAGGTGACGCGGCGGGGCTGGGGAAGGACCGCTGGGGTCCAGGAGGCAGCTGGCATGGGCAGCGGCGGGGTGGCCTCCTCCCTGCCCCCTGCAGTGATGCCCCCGTCACCTGTGCCCTCACCGAAGGTCTCTCCACACTACTCCAGAGCATCAGCAAGGAAAAGGACCCCTCAGCCAAGCACATTTGGGCAAAGTTGATTAAAATGGCGTTGCTGCTATAGCGCTTTAAAATGCCCATATGCAGGCGCGTCCTGACTCCACCAGCTGGGCGGCTCCTGAGCGATACTGATCACACAGAGGTTTTGGCGAGAGCTTCAGGGCTCCAAGGGCCACGCCTGACGGACTACTTATCCCCTGAGGAAAGACCCAGCTCTGAAAACCCTCTGTGCCCTGGCCCTTGGGGCCTCCCAGCAGCAAGTGTTTGCTGAGCACCTACCTGTGCCCACACCTGCGCAGGTGTGTCTGTGCCGGCCTCTCAGCCCGGGCAGGCTCCGGCACCTCTGCCGCCTCGGCAGCTCGCACCTCGCCAGTTCACACCTCGGCACCTGTGTCTAAACAGCTGGTGCCCTCCCCACCCTATCGGGGCGCCCAGACGTGCTGACGTCAGGGAAGGCAGGGGCCAGCCATCTGTGCGTGGCCACGGCCAGGCCTCCGTTTATCTGCACAAAGCCACCCGTCTGTCACGCTGAGGAGACCAACTCCAGAGCAAGGCAAACGTGACTCGGGCGTCTGATACTCGGGGACTGTGCTTCGGACCCAGGGAACCCACCCAGGCCCAAGGTGGAAGCAAAAACCTTGAAAAACTAAGGGAGGAAGAGGAAGGGAAAGAAAGTTGGGCGTCACCATGGTCTGAGGGTTTGTGTCCCCCAAATTTCATATGTTCAGATCCTCACCCTCAAGGCGATAGGGGGTGGCCCTGTAGAAACTGACTACGCCCTGGGGTGGCCCTGAGTGGGCATGAAGGGGACCAGATGCTAATAAAGGACACCCCGAGAGCTCCCGGCCGTCCACCCTGTGGGACGCAGACGGCGTCCTGGGAGTGGTTCTCATGGTTCTCGCCGGGCCACCATGCTCGCACCCTGATCTGGGACTTCCGCCCTCCAGAACCTGGAGAAAGTGGGTGGGGAGACCCGCAGCCTGCGGACTTGCTTAGAGCAGCCTGAACAGGCTGATGCCGGTGAGCAGATAGAGTGGGCTGGCGAAGGAATGGGGGAGAAAATATATGAACAAAAGTGCCTGAAGAGCCCCCAGACTGCACCCCGGCATTAGTTCACAGGCCCACACACCCTACTTGTATTCACATTCTGAGCAGAAGCTTAGCAAGTCAGCTGTCCAGCCTCACAGCAGACAGGCAGGAGGAAGAGCGGTTTCGGTAGGAAGCTAGGGGGTACACATCAGTCGGGTGAAAGGACCCACACACGAGGCAGGTCCCCCAGGCCGCAGGGAGAAGACGGCACATGGTGGAGAGGGTCCAGTGCTTCGTCCCAAAGGCTGGGTTCTGGCCTGGGGTCACTTTTCAAAAGGGAAGTGAAGAGTGAGGAGGCTCGGGAGAGGGTGTGTGATGCCGAGGACGGGCCGTGAGCGCAGTGGTGCTAAGCGCATCTTCCCGGGGGAAGGAAGGGAACTGGCGGACGGGAGAGGAGGGCCGTGGGCCACGCCCAGCCCAAACACTGGAAGTCAGAGGAGTCCGGTGGCTGAGCACCTTGGCAGGTGATGAGCTCGCTGTGACGAGAGGCATGTAAGCGCCCAGCCACCGCAGAGAGCAGTGCCGGCTGCAGCGTCAGACGGCTGCTTATGGCCGGGACACCTGTGCTCTAACAGCGCGGGCCCCTGCGGCTGTGACCGGGGACATCGGACGCTCCAGGTCTCCTAGGCGCCCGGCTGGACGACATTCCCGTCACCGTGCCGTTTCAGGGGCTCGTCATGTGGGGACGGGGTCCGTGCCGCAGAGGGTGGGTGTGAGCTCCCACCTGCTGTGCAGCCAGCATGCCTGTGCCCAAGAGGGGGTCTCAGCAACACCTCCCCAAAGCATCTTTTGGGTTAGGAGCTTGGTCAGATGGGGGAGGACACAGCGGCCTGTATTAGGGGGACCTGCAGCTTAGGGGTGTGACTGGGAATGACTCAGCTCCGTGAGCCTCAGTCTCCACCTCCATGGAATGGGCACAGCATCCTACAGACGTGATTATCAGCCAGCAAGGGGTGTGCCCCCAGGCCCACTGCAGCCTGGCAAAGTTCAGTCAGTCTGGTCTGGAAATGCTTGGACAGAGGTGGCTGGTGCGTGACCCCAGTGCTCTGGTCTAGGGGGATACCAACACAGGGCAGATACCAACACAGGGCAGGGGCCAGCCTCCATCACAGCCCAGACACTCCATGAGCCCCTCTGGCCCCATGAAGGAGCCCTGCCCTGAGGGTTTCTCCTAGGATGGGCCCTGGCCGAGGAATCGGTCAGGCTGGGCTGACCCCCACAGGGCTGCCTGATCTCAGCAGAACAGTGTCTGTCCCACACGTCCTCACTGGCCACCCAGCAAGGGGGACCAGGGCACCCCCTCAGCAAGCACTTACCCAGCATGCACAGGGGCTTCCTGGCAAATTTCAGTCTTCCCCGCCAGCCTTTGTATCGGCAGCAACACCCGGCGGCCCAGATTCTCAGAGCAAACTCGGCTCCAAAGATGAAAATAGCGAAAGTCTCCTGCATTGAAGAGCACAGGAGAGCCCCGATTAACCACGCCCAGAGCCTGGAACGAGCAATTTCCAATTTCTGTGCTGAAGTTCCCGAGCATGGGATTTCTGCCACTGTAGTGCTGTTTAGATGGGGTTGGGGGGGCGGGGGGTGGTGGCTGCAACAGACAGTCCTGGAAGGCCCAGTGTTCATTCCAGTGTTCATTCCAGTGTTCATTCCAGTGTTCATTCCAGTGTTCATTCCAGTGTGCTAGCTGTCCCAACACTGTTCGGTCTTGGCAAAAGCCTTGTCCTTTTCCTGTGTTTGTTCTAACGGCTCACTTAAAAAAAAAATCCCTGCGATATACTAAAAGCTCCTCCGAAGTGCACTTAGGTTCAAAGAGAGCTATCGATGGAACCATTTGCACACCCAGCCCAGCCCGGCCGGGCCCCTGGTGCCCTGACTGTGAGCCGGGGCCTGGGCCAGCAGCACCTCAAGCACCTTATCACATCAGCTCAATCTTTGTTTTGAGAAACCACAGCGAGGACAAGTTAACTGAGCTTGTCAAGGCATGACGGGACAAAGAAGGGTAAGCCTGGCCAGGCAGGGCTGCTCCAGGCGGGCTCCCTCCCTCCTCCAGCGCCTCCCTGATTAACCAGACATGATGGCCCTGCCCCGCAAACCCCCACTCTCTGGCCACCGCCCCCAGCCTTGCGGCACCACCGCGATCCCCAACCCCGGGAGCGGGTGGCTTCCCAGGACCCTGCTCTCAGGGTGGTGGTGTGGCGGGCTGACGCCTCAGCCAGCCCGGGGGGCCTTCAAGGTCCACTAGCTCAGCAGGGAGTCCCGGGCTGCAGGAGCACCCAGCCCTGCAGGGGGAGGCCATGCCCAGGCCAGACACAGAGGCTGCACCCACCTCATTCCTTACTCACCTTTTTATATTCAAGGGAGGGTAGGTAGGAACCTAGAAGTGTGGCATGAGACAACTGGCCCCGAACTGGCCCATGCTGCCTTCCCCCACACTTGCTACCCCCCTGCCACTGGCGGGAAAACAGTGGACACAGCACGCCCGAAGAAGGACTTGGGGTGTAAATGCATGTTGCGCTGGGCCCAGAGTGGAGGTGAGCGCCTTGGAGCAGAGGAGTCTAGAAAGGTCGGCTCCTCTGTGTGCACCTTCAGTGGTTCGGGTGACTGTGTGTGCAAGCCTAAGTCAGCATGAACTGGTTTGCCCTGACCTTGGTCACCCCCCCCCCATCCAGAGGAGCTTGCTCTTCCCAGGAATGCCAGTCCCACAGCCTCACCAGTGGATCCAGGCCTCCCTTTCCCCATGTCTGGACCTGGGCAGGACTCCCTGAGGCCACAGCTGGGAGGCAGAACGGTACCCCAGGACAGCCCCTTCCCTCCAGTCTGAAGCCGGCTCCCCTAGAACACCACCGAGCAGGCTGCGACCTCACCAGTAGCAGAAGCCAGTCTCCTGAGACCGTCTCATACTCCTTGAACGTGGTCAGGACAGCCAGGATTAAGCACCCCAGGACGATGAGGAACCTGGAGAGAAAGGAAGAGGAGGCTCAGGAGCGCCCAGGCCTGCCTTGCCCTGGGTCTGAGCAGGACGGTGTCCGCCAGACCGCGACTACAGCTGCCACGGGCCACTGGCGTGAGCTTTGCATGTCACCCGCACACCCGCGCCACCAACCTGCCCGAGGGGCGGGGCACTAGACCGGGAAGAGAGAACAGCTGAGGGATGATAACCACGTGCAGACTTTCACTTTCTCAGCTAGTTGGACTGAAAGTGGATCATCTGGCTGCAACCCTGGGGGACTGCCAAGACCCTGAAAACCCAAAGTTGCACAAGCCCACTCCTCAGGTGGGTACAGAGTGCTGTCCACTCGGTGCCCGCCACGATCTCGATTCTGTGCTGATTATAATCAATCCATGACTGTTTTGAAGCCACTTGCTTACATTGTGCAGTAAATAAAAACATGAGCTGAAGGCCCTCCCTGGTGGCGCAGCGGGTTAAAGCGCAGCGCTAAGAAGCTAGAGCCACTTCCGCATGAGTTCGATCCCCGCCTGCCCCGGAGCTGACCACATGGCGCGGCAGACCTCTCCTGACCCGCCCGCTGCTCCCCTCAGCAGTGGGCTTCATCAGTCTGCCTGTTCTGCTCCCCACTCTGTCGCTGGTGAAGCCTCTCTGCACCTCTGGCCAGTGCCCAGTTCTGTGTGCATGGATGAATAAATCTTTAATAAAAAAACCCAAAATACTAGCTTAAAATGTGATGCTAGAGTTCTTCTTAGAGCAGGAACTGCCTTTGTCTTACTGACCCAGTGAAGGCAGAAGGTTCAACTCTAAAGGAACGAGACTGCTAATCTACTCAGCAGTAAGACTCAACGGGGATTGGAGATGAGGGTTGGCTTTGAGGGCCAGGAAAGACTAAGGGGGGGGGGGGGAAATATGGCCTAGCCACATGCTGAAAGACTCTTACGAGCAAAATTGCATCAAATTTCATGTTTGTTTTGCAATATAAACCATCTACTACAGCCCGGTATGGGTGGTTTTGAATTTAGCTGGCCTCGAACTTTATACAAGAGGGATGGCACTGTGGCCCACAGCTGAACAAACTCAGTGAAAGCAAGAGCCCTAGCCAGACCCACATCCTGCCCGCACTCTCCCATCCTTGGAGAGAGGGATCACGGAGGTGTCTCCATAGAGTGTATACACAGAGCTCCTATATGGATCCGCTGATTTTGAGGTCCAGGTGGAAATATGCAGCAGGCGGATAGAAATTCGAGTCTCCAGCTTAGAGGAGACGTCGGGGCTGGAAGCCCGAGTCTCTTCCAGCTCTAACAGCCCATGATTTTAGAACCAGGATTGGAGATAATTTGGCAGAAGCAATCAGCAAAAGTTTCAGCCCTGAACCCGCGCGGGAGCCTGCAGAACCGGGATGAAGCCAGCAGGGGGCAGCAAACGCCCGGCGTAGCCCTCATTCTGCACCAGGGAGGGAAAGCACCAGCAACCTCCAGAATCCACTTTCCAAGATTTGAAAATAATCATTAATTTATGGAGCTAAAAGCATGGAGGAATCCCTCCTTCGCCTGAGAAGGGGAGACAGGCTTTGGTCTCTTGTACATTTCAATTCACTCTTAAAAATGTGAATTTGGGCCCTCCCTGGTGGCTCAGAGGGTTAAAGCACAGCACTAAGAAGCTTAAGCCACTTACGCATGAGTTCAATTCCCGCCTGCTCCGGAGGAGATCCACATGGCGAGGCAGACCTCTCCTGACCCGCCCGCTGCTCCCCTCAGCAGTGTACTTCGTCGATCGGCCTGTTCTGCACCCCACTCTGTCTCTGGTGAATCCTCTCACCCTCCGCATCTCTGGCCTGTACCCCAGCTCTATATGAATAAATAAATAAATCTTTAAAAAAAAAATGTGAATTTGGTTTGGAGGGAACTGGGCTGTCGGCTGGGGCCCTCCCTGGCCTGCATCTGGTCTGCTGTGGCTCTCTCCCTCTCCAAGCCTGCAGAGCCTTCCTTTACCCCCTCAGTCACCGCCTCTGTGTGCCCTTCACCCCCATTTGGTCTCCCTGCAAACCCTTCCCTGTTTCCTCCCCTGCTCCCCTCTCCTCTCTGCCCCTCCTCCCACTGGTTCTGCCCAGCATTGAAGCTCCGCTGGCCCGGCCTCTGCTTCTCCCTCCTAGGGTAGGCAGGAGGGCGGGTCCCCAGAGCAGGCGGGGGCGCTTGTGAAGTGTAAGGTCCAGGGACCCGGGACAAGGACCTCGCTGGCCCCTGGGGGCCAACCCCCAGGGCAGCTGTCCAGGAGGCTCAGCGCAGGGGCTTTCCCCGGGGAGCTGGAGGGTGAGCACAGGCCCGCGCTTCTCAGCCGGGCCACGTCCCTTCATCAGAACAGACCCGCCTGCCCGCTGGAGAGAAGCGGAGAGATAAATGAGAATTTATGTCATCTTTTTTTTGTATTTTCTCCCGAACTCCTGAGAGCAGCAGTGGCAGTGGGGCGCCATCTCCGTTACAACTGCACCCCACTTTACAGATGAGGCAGGGCGCCTCCGGGCCCGGCTGGGTTACAGGAGGGGTGGCGTGTAGCCCCGCCGGGCCAGGCCAGGCAGGGCAGGGGGCCAAGGGCTCAGCCGGGAGGGTGCTCTCGTCTGACTCCCCCATGTGTCCAGGCTTTAGGGAGGAAAGCCGGGGTCCATTTCTGGGTGGTTCCTGAGAGAGAGCAGGGACCCCGGCTCTCTCAGGGCCTAGACCGAGTGGAGGGCAGCGGGACTCGCTTTATGTCCTTGTCTGCCTGCGGTGAGTGGGTGTGCAGGAACAGTCTCCCCGCCAGGCTGGTCACCCGGCAACCTCGAGCAGAGAGGTGCTTGGCCATCAAGCCCACCCGCCCTGGTCCCGTCAGCACCCCTTCCAGCAGAAGACACAGCCCTCAGACTATCACCTCAGGAGCCTCCTGATCCCCAGCACAATGCCTCAGAGGTAAAGCGCCCACTAAGTGCCAGGATTCCTTTACTCCCTAGGCAGCAGCCCAAGGGCGTGTGGGTCACCCCTTAATGGAGCCGGTCTGCTGTCCTGGCACAGGGCTGAGCCTTACTCCTATTTTGCAAACCCCCCAGGGGGTATGGGTTGGGCTGCCTGGAATGCTGTGCTGAGAAGGAGTCGGACTGCCGCCAGGTGAAGTGGTGGTGGGGGCAGGAACTATATTGATCAGTCCCGTCTGTCACAGGAGCAGGAGAGAGCCAAAACTGTGCTGTTCCTTCGCCGCCCAGGACGTAAGTCGGAGCTAAGTCAATTTCCGATTGCTTCCGCTTCCTGACCTGGCTCACGCCAACTCTCCCCAAGTATACTAACTAGCACTTCCAAGGGGCCTTAAGAAGAGCCTTTTCTTGTTCCTTCATCCTTCAGAAAGGGAGTCTGCAAAGCAGAGGGAGGTCCGAAACACCTCGGTTTAGGCCCAGAGAAGAGCTCTGGTCTCCATTTCGCAGCACCTCCCCGTGCTCCGGGCCGACTCGGCAAGTTCAGCAGTCACTCTTTGTGGGCTTTTCACCATATCCTCAGGCCCAGGGTTGCTGCATGGGTAAGTCAACTAGAAACTGGAGGAAGTCTTCGTCAGGGGCTGATTTCTGCTGCCCTTGAGCTGGCGACAGTCTCCCGCTCCCACTGAATGTGCCTTCAGGCAGTGGGGAGACGCTGTACCCCCCCAGCCTTTCAGGAGATTCACATCAAACCAAGGATCCCGTGCCCTGGGCAGATGACCTCGACTTTTCTTCGGTCAGCATTCCCTCGGTTATCCATTTCTCTCCCGACATGTGGCACATAGGGGCCACCGAGGTAGACCAGGACAAGGGATACCTCGGACTTATTCAAAATGATTTCATGTCTTAGTAGCTCTTAAAAGTGACACAAACGGCAACTAGAAACCCAGAAACACTCACATCAAGACCCACCTCTCCGAGACACGGACGGGACGCAAGTGGACCCACGAGGTCCCAGGGCCAGCACAGGCCGAGCCCATTCCAGAATAGATGGTGCTTATACGGAGGCAGGAACATACATGTTCTTACGCCACCAGAGTCCTCCTGAGCCACTGCACTACTGGAGAATCCTTCCAGAACACCCAGAGCAAACAACAGTCCCTCTCAGGCATGTCGTGAGGGGCGAGATGAGGAACACAGAGCAGCCACGCAGGGCTCCGCCCGGCACAGAGGCCCCGTGGGGGCTGGCCATGGCGGGAGCGAGGTTGGCTCGGACGGTCAGGCCTCTGCCCGGTGCGGCTGCTGATGGTTTCATCAGACCTGGGAGTCTGTATTTAGAAAGTGCCAATCAGCCAGAGACTGGGAGATTGGAAGACGTTCTAGCAAGATGATGTCTGAGTCCCAGCCAGCGCTGGGCCATCTGCACCGTGCACGTCAACATCATTTGGTGATATTTGCTGAGCTCCTTCTTGTCAGGAGTCCAGAGGCAGCCAGCCCTCTAGATAATAGCCACACCTACTTTTTTTGGCGGGGATAAGGTTGGAGGCTTCTGTCTGGGGACACAATTATCACCTTCTCCACACCAAGCTGCTCCTTGCTCTGTCCTGCACCAGCATCACACCAGCTGGACTCTACCACAACCTGACCAGCAGCGTGGCCACTGCCCCCTCTCTTCCACCCAGGTTTGGCTTGACCTTTCCTGATAAAGGCCCTGCCCCCCAGCTCTGGCTGAGCAAGCGGGGGAGAAATAGGCCATCTCTGACGTTTCCTGCTCTCCCCAGAAGAAGCTGCATCTCTGATATCTTGACATGCTAAGGTCACTCTGGCCCCAGTCCTTTCCTGGCTGGGCCTGTCAGTCCATCATTTGCAGCGAGACGCCCGGGATCAGCACCATCCAGGGGCTGAGGCTTCTGCAAAGACTTCTCATCAAGAAAGCATTCGTATTCGGAGACAGCTGCAAAGAGGTGGGCGGTTACCGTCTCACCTTCATGCACGCCTCTCCTTGCTTCCCGCAAAACCAGCAACCGAAAGGAAGAGTAGCTTCTGGAGTCCAGCTGTGGCAAGCTG